CACAGCTGGCATCGATCTACGTTTTACTTGAGCGACAGCTGTGATGTAATTAATGGCATCGAGACTCAAATAGTGTCCGAAAGTGTTAATTCGGCCGAGGAGCTCCCTACATAGTTCACTACATGGTAGTCCCTAGACAGGAAGTAGGGATTGTGTGGATGTTTGGAATTTCTACAACCATGCGACGTAGAGGTTGTGCTTGTGAAACCAAGTATTGCAGTGGAGCAGAACAAAAGCCTCGAGGCGGAATTTTATCAGCATGCAATTTACACAACTATAATTTAACCCAGTTGTTTGGTTTGGAAATACAATCAATATTTGATTATTCTAATTATTCAGTTCCAAACAATATTCATGATTTGACAATACAATCTGAAAAGGTGGTGAACCCTCTTGACTGATTCCCTGTTTCAGACTGATTGCATTTCAGCTTTTTTTTTTCTTTGATTCTTTTTTTAACTTTCAGTGTTTTTCTTACATCTTTGTTGCTCTTTGAGGTGCTGCAGTTGTAGAGGGAATTGTGGGAAATGTGTTCATGTCTTTGTTTGTTCATTACATGCAATAAAAAATTTAAAAAAAAAAGTTGAATCCCGTACCTCCATGGGGTCCAGCGGCTCTCCGTTCTTCAGCCAGCGGTACGAGGGTTTGGGCTTTGCGCTGGCTTTGCATTCCCACACCAGAGTGTCATCGATAGTCTTCTGAACATCTTGAGGCTTCTCAGTCAAGTGAGGCGCAGCTGTGGGGGTCACATACTGTAAATGAACACTTCAACACTACACAAATGCTTCAGTATTGCCAGTAAGCAGCAGTTTCCGTATAAATCAATGAACCAACCAAGCCGGCAATTAGTTCATTAAAGAGGCATCCAAAGGGCACAAATCATAAATCCACTCCCAATTAACCTGAAACTGACCTCTGCGTGAAAAAATATATAAATAAAAACAACTGTATAGGGTTGCTGCAAAGGAAAATCAATAGCAAATAGTTGAGAGTGTTTACTGTACAGTTTAAAGCTAAATAATAAGCATCTAGCTTTGCCACAATTTGCTTTTCTGATGCAGATTTTCTACAAGCATCAAGTTAACTGATCATGTTATATTTCTTGTCACACTAACAATCAAAGGGTTGTAATTCTTCCTTAGCGAGCAGTTAATAGCAAAAGTTATACGCGCTTGTTGTCACTCGAGGCCTCAGAAATCCATTGATAAAATTCCTCTATATTTATGACGGTGGTCTTATTGTCACATAAATGACTAGCCCCTTATCTCTGGCGACAGTGGAAGAAGATTTACGGACCTGGTGAAGCATCCGCATAAATACATGACGCCTCGCCAGGGTCAAGAGGAAGCTCAAGAAAAGGTAGTTGAGTCAGTCTCGAGCTGCGTTACTTATAATAGCTCATTTTTAACATCCACTCAGTGTCGAGGACTTTTTAGCAGAGTGAATGCTTAACTTAAACTGAGGGCTTCGTCGCTAAAATAGTTTCTATCTTTATAATTTCCATGTAAAAATATTGTTTCACCAGATCATACCGTGGTTACAGGAGAGTCTGTTTAAATACTGTGTTCTACGACGCTCAGAATGGGATCAAAGTTTTCATTTGGGAGCATGTTAAATGCTGTAGGAGAAGTTGGTATTTAGAAACAGTGTCCCAGTGTGAAAGTAAAGTCAATTACAAGCGCCATCATTTATTTGCATGTAAAACTGCTAGTCAGCTGCTTACTCCATGAGGTATGAAGTTACAGTCAGGAAAGGACACTTACTCTGACTTAAAGTTTATAAAATGATCAAGAACAATTCTGTAGATTTAAAATTACAGTCGTATTTACAATGAGCCAATAGGAAAAGAGTTTTGTATTCAGGTTAACGTTATAAATAAGCTTCATGCAGGACAGATTTCCTCTCTCTCCTTATCGCATTGGAATAAATTTACACAGCAAAGTGTTTGTTTTCTTATTTAAAGTCATAAAAGTCATTTGCATGAAACCTTTCAGTCTAAAAGGTGAAATTATGAGACTATTAAACGAAAGAAATCATATTTACAACAGTGTTTTCTTTCTTTTTTTTCTTATTAAATTGCTTCTTGCTAATATTTTCTCCTCCTAACTTCCCTAGCAGCGCTGCACGTCTTTCCTAAACTGCATTCTACTTTCCAAGAGCAACTTCTGACCCATTCGACTAAAGTTACAAAAGCTTTACAGAAAAACTGTCTCCAGCAGCCACATATAACAGACTTGAGATAATATTTTGCTATAAGAAAAAAACAAAACAAGCTCTCTTAATGTTCCTTTCATGAAAGGGAATACATTTGGTGTAATGAATACGTTCCGTATTAAAAATGCATTCACTGCTGAGAAACAATTACTGTATGACACCCTGTTAACGACATTACAAATGAGACTGTCAGAGATAACATAATAGAAGGAAGGATGTCGCGCGAGCGGCTTCAGCACAAAGTCAATCTGATCGCGTCTGAGCCCATTCAAATGCAGTAAACTGCCCGACCATGATCTCATTTCTTAAATCCAGTGGAACTGCGGAAGGACAATTAAGTGTGAAATCGAAAGCGAGGCCACCCCCTTATTGTTGCTGCGCTCGTACTGTTTGGTTGTCGCAAACACCACATCCCCATATTGATTCCCTCTATTCTTCTGTGGAGTTGATGGATGTCCCACAAGCTTCTGTCTATGGGGTTTAAAATGAGATTACAGATTTTTATCACCTGGCGGCCGGTCAGTCTGCGCTGGCTTTGAGATGAGACAGGACCTAAATCTTACAAGGAGAAACACGGCTTCCACACGGGCCATGTGACTCGACGCAGCGACGGGTGCAAATTGCAGAAAAATTATGACCTTGTTTACAAAAATGACCACAACATCATCACACCGTTTCACCTTGTTCGAAGCACTTCTACGCCTGCCGACGCCCACTCGTACGGTGGCACACTGCTTGAAGCAGAGCGCGTTTAATCCTCAGTCTACCTACAGCTACTGTGAGCATTTCATCTTACCCAAAGGTGTTGCAGGAAAAAAAACCTGTATTATCATTTCAAAGGCATCCTCCTTCAGAAAAGAAAAATCTGGATTTGATGATTTCAGTCAAGCACATCCCTATAGGGCCTTGTGGGCAGACATCATCAATGCATAAACTGCGAAATAATGGAGAGCGAAACCATAAAAAATCCTTCATCAAGGGCCATTAAAAGCTTTCTCAGAATATGGGCCATAAGTCCAGTGTTGGTGAGGGAAAAATCACCTCTCCTTGAAAGGTGGTGTAAATCTGTGCTCGCCGCGGCCCCGTCTTAGCCTCTGGCACAATAAAGAGCTTGTCAGGAATGAACTACTGGTAATAGGTTAATTTACTACCACATTCCCACAATGTGATGCAGTTATATATGGACTCTAATAAAAGCTACAGATTGCATGACAACAAATAAAACTTTTTTGTGGGAGTCACAACAAAGTTACACTTTTACTCAGCCAGTGCAAGGAGCCTTTGAAGGGGTTTAAAGAAGGTTATGAATCCATGGATGGAAGATTTGGTAAAAGTCTATAAATGTATAAATGTGATAGGAAGAAGACTGACAGGTTGAAAGCATAAGACTTCTTTTTTCTTTTCTTTTTTATACCCAAGACAAGAGACAAGAAGTGAGGCAAGGTTTAGATCAAAGTCAGGAAAAACCATCCTCCTACTCACCATAGAAAGACAGCTTTCCTTTAACCGAGTTTCTTCCTCTGCTGTTCTCAGCCACACATTCATATATCCCTGCATCCTCCTGCTGGAAATAAGGGATCTCCAAAACGCCGCTGGCTTTATTTATGTCCACCTTCCTGCCGAACGAGGCTCCATCCACTCTCCTCCAGCTGATGGTTGGCACTGGGCTGAAGGCACGAAAAAACACAACACACAGCACGAGCACAAACTGAAACATAAGCCCGAAGACCGCTTTATCTGGGGATTTAGCTTAGCCTGAGGAAACGTGTGTGATGCAAGTGAATAATGAAAAACACTGATAAAGGATGTAAATGTTTAATTATTCTGAATCACTAACTGGTGAGCCTCTGTATATTCTGTGTGAGCAGCACAAGAAGGAAGTCATTACTATCGGAAAATGTGAAAATCGCTTCACGGGGTGCCGGCACATTACCATGCAGCTTACACTGGTAAAGTAAATAGCTAATGCAGTTGTGATTTTGGTATAATAATGCACAGTGGGACGTACTTTCCGAGTGCAAAACACTCCAGTTTGACAGTTGAGCTCTTAGCGACAGGGACGACTTCGGGGAACTGCACTTCAATCTTTGGCTCGTACTCGCCCATCACACCTGGAGTTTCAAAAAGAAACCACAACGACATTCTTTCAGCTGAAAAAGGCCACAATGAAACTAAATCACAACGTAGTGTAGATCACAAATGGTGCATTTACATACAGTAATGTAAAGCTCAAAGGAATTAGAACTCTCTTTGAGCTTTTGCAAGGTTTTTGGACTGTGTGCCAGTCTTTAGTGGAGAATATCTAATTGTAAATAGTCTGACCACTGTTGGGATTGTGATTTAAAGTTGAATTATGTTCCATTAAAGCACAGTGAACAAGCTAACCAGACAACTGCCAAAAGTTTTTTTAGTTTTGTCAGCCAAGTTACAGACCTAAATGAGGTACAGATGATTAAAATTGCTGGCAGCAGTTAGCGAAATCGACGGCCGCCAGTGAAAAATGTAAGTTGGAAGTTGCTTTGTTTTAAATGTTGGTTTTGATTTAAAAACAGCTTCTCGTATTTTGTACTATATGCATATTTTAACAAGCGGGGTTCCTTCGTACCATCAACCCGCAGGACCAGAGGCGTCGGTGGTCCCTGAACGCTGCTTTTGGTGACCGTGTTGGTGACGACGCAAGTGTAGTTGCCCACATCGGAGGGTTCCACTTTGGCGATGTAGAGGTTGCCCGTCTTCTGGGACACAAATCGCCGCGTGTCCTGGATGACAAACGACGGGTACGCGTTGAAGATCCACGTGAAGGTGAGATCTGTGGATGAAACCGAGAAGGACGGAAGTGGGCGAAGCATGAAAAGCAAACACTGTATTTATGCGTCATTTGTTCCCACGTACATATAACGTGTGCTTCATCAGCAGTCTCATCACTTCAGTGTGAGTGGATGCCTTCAGGGATAAAGCAATTAGCGGATTGGACTGCCTTCCATGATTAAAAAACACAATTTATAATTGAAGAGCAATTACTCTTGCTCACTGTTGGATAAATGCCCTTAATAAGGTAGAAGTTTTAAAGGTCCACTATGCTGAAGTGATGAGGCTGAAAGTAGGAAAGACAGGCATTTTTAAATAGAAGCAGTTTATTTATATTCCCAGCAGGATCGTTGAGGTCTTCTCTGCGGTGGCTTGTTTAACTTGTAGTTTGGAAAAATGAGGAGCGAGGTGGTTGTTAAATGTCTAAGCGGGTATTTAGACTGAAAACAGCCCAGAAATAAGACAATACAAAGAGAATGTTGCCACAGACACCAATGAGATAATATAATCAATCTATAAAGTCCACTTTGAGTTGGAGATTTGTGAACTTGAAGATTTGTTAGAACCAAAGACCAACATCACAACTAGAACCAGGACTAAAACAGTTTACATCAAAGTATAGAACTGCCTGTGCTAAATGAACTTCCATCCATCCATCATCTATACACCGCTTAATCCGCACGAGGGTCACAGGGGGCTGGAGCCTATCCCAGTCAACTTAGGGTGAAGGCAGGGGACACCCTGGACAGGTAACCAGTCTATCACAGGGCTACACTCAGAGACAGACAACCAAGCACACTCACATTCAGAGTCAAGATCCATCATGTAAAATGTTGGGAAATGTTGATTTTGTTCACTTTTATATGTACACTACATTTATTTTTTTTGTTTTTTGCATAATATATTCTGCATTCTGGACAGGGGAGGGTCTCAAATACGTTTATTGTTGTCCACTAAAACTGTGTGGTGTTTTTTGTTGATCGTTTATGGGGTTATTTATTTTATTTGCTGCTTCATTTACATAAAACCTACAAGTCTCAGCCCTTTCTAGAATGCAGCAGACTTTAAATATTTCTATCCAAGGATTTCACCCATGCTATGTAAATATGTTTCTGTAATATTTATGATTTTCTTCTTTAATATTGATGATTTGTTACTGATCTCATGTTGTATATGGCAATGAAAAGATTTTTTTTGGTCTTTTATACCTCCCCCGGGTATGTGGAATGTGGTCTGCTGATAGCTTCAGTTTGCCTGATGAAGGTCTAATAACCAAAACATTGTGCTAATAAATGTAAAGTCGGACAGCGTGCAGGCGTCTGATTGAATCTTTAGAGAATTAGTTTAAAAAAAATAAAATAACGATACCAATTTCTGAAATCCCCACATCAGGCCAGTAATGAGCAGATCCTTATTCTTTATTTCATCTACCTTTACTTCTTGGAATTTACTACCTAACAAGAATTGATTTTAAAAACAGAGGCAAAGGTTGTGCATAAACAAAACCCAAACAAAACAAGCATCTCCCCCTGCGGTTGTCATGTAGCGGCGGAGGACCTTAAATCAATCCTTAAGCTGCAGCTCCTGCATAAAAAAAAACTGCATAACGTCCAATAAAACCAATGTATTACAGATCATGTTATTCAGTATGGTACCACCTAGTCTACTATTCATCATCCGTGATAACAGGCTTCTGGGAAACAGTCCCAGTACTATCAACCAAATGGAGTGCAGTCAGAGAGGCTTTGCACTAACAATCAGCAACATTATAAAAAGGAATGATGGTGTTTTGACATATTGACACAAGGATAGATTGCTCTGGACCATATTGCATCCCTGTCCCAAAAGCAATCTTGGCCGTTGGTAAAAACTTGTCTAAGCGATGACTCGGCACTACAGTACAGGGAATAATTGAGACGTGAGTTGGACACTCATCTACTGACTCAGGATTCTTCAGTTCTGCTCTTCCGGGGGGCACGAGGAGGATGTGTGGGCTTTGACATATTACTGCAAACCTTGCAAATCACATGGAATCTTGAGGCCTTTTGTCACAGGCTTGCTTATTCCGTTCCGTCCTTACCCCCCTGGTCATCTGCTTCCTCGGCTTTAACTCCCAGCCACTCCCACTCGCCCTCCTTTCCCTTCCCCCCTCCTGTCGGCGGCATCACCTGATCTTCCCCACCCCTCTGCTCTGCTCATTAGTCCCTCAGTATATACTACCAATTACACCCTGCCAGATGGTCAACTCGCAACTTCATGCCAATACATTCCCTCTATTTTGCTCGCCGACCTGTTTCCTATAACCTTGTAAGAGACGCTTTGTATTTAAACAAACTTTTACTTGTGTGGTTTTGGGTCCTCAAATCGCTCCTTCTGACCAAGCACTGTGTTTTCAAGTGTGTGGGACTAGTAGAGGACAACCTGACCTTGTGATCATCCCAAGAACATAGCATGAGGCTGAAACTTGCGCCACACAGCGTAACCACACCTGTCTCTCTGTTTTGTGCCAGAGATGTCAACATTTCCAATGTGCCAACGATTACAATATCTAAAGTTTTATGTGGGAAAAGAAAAACCGGTATTTATTGACAAGCTGTGCTATGGCATTAAAGGATGCTGATGCTAAATGCCACCAGACACTAAATAATAATACAGCATATAGAATAAGAAAATGTCAAAATGAGAAGTATTGTCACACATGCATGACATTATGGCCGACAGAGTTACTTGGACACCAATTACTTGGAAGAGTCTTGGTGGGATTAGATGCTTTCTGCCAAATTATGTTGTAGCACTGTGACTAAAGTTAAATGCCAACCAGCCGCCAAATATTTCTACCTCCAAATAATTCTTCAGTTCTGGCCAAGTTCCCTGCTGTAATAATTTCTCTTTTCCCTTTTCCATTATTAAAGCAATATGTGACACTTAGACCTCTCGCAAAACTTCATCGCAAACTTTTCATACGTCGTAGCGCGTCTGGCATCGAATCAATGGCGTGAGAATAGTCCAGAAAAGCAGATTTTGAAGACAAACGGCGATTAAAAACACACATTTTGTGGCGCACTTGGCTGGTGATAAATGCTGTATCCCCACTGGCACTCACCATCTTTCTCAGTTTGGCTGCTGGCCTGCTCCGCCAGTTGCCCGTATCATGACTGATGGCGTGTGCAGTGCATTACAATAAATCATGTTAAAGACATTTTGCTTTTTGGGGTTTTTCTTGTTCTCTTAGTGTGTTTTATATAATAGCTTTTATATGCATGTAAAGGGTCTGCTAAGTTACAAAGCCCAAAGTCCATGCCAAATGGAGTTAGTATTCCCAACAGAGAACACTGTTCCTCACTGCTTGAAATGCTTCGTTTGAAGTCCAGCCTTCTCTTCCATTACTTCTCCACATCATCATGTAACATACGCAAGAATAGCAGTAAGCTTGACACGCTGTCAAACAAGGACTGAGCAGTTTCTTCACAGTTCTCCATTATCTTCTCATTGGTTCCACGTCTCTCAGCCTACATAAGCAGATCTGGGGTTACGATACGCAACCATAGACTGTATAAAAGATGGACCGGCCCTGAAAAATGAAGCCAACCAGGAAGTGTCAAAAACCTACATCTGCTGGCTCCAAAAAGCCCTGGCTCCCACAGACTTGAATTGGAGAAGTGATCACAGATCACGAAATACCGCATTCCTACAGCTCAGGATTTTTTTTCTTATTAGTTTTCAGGGTCTATTCCAGAGATCAGGTGGCCAATCTGGAAAAAAAAAAAAAACAGAATTTTTGAAAAATCGTCAAAATTTTGCGGGGCAAGGGGCTTGGCTGGCTTGATTGACAGTCGGCAGCGACGATGCAGACGAAGCGAGCAGAAGGCGGTAAATGTGGGCGGGCAGAGAGGGCCGGCCTCTCAATCCGTCTGACCAATCGCTGCTCTTGTGGCTCCGCGCCCCTCCGACGATTTTTAAGTCACTGGCTCCAAAAATCTAAGATGTCAACCAGGAAGTAGCAAAACCTTGGCTTCATTTTCTCCGTGCAGAAACCAACGGGTGACGTCACGGTAGCTACGTCCATCTTTTATACAGTCTATGTACGCAACCAACACTTTTGTCACACCGACTGAGCAACCAGAGCAGACTGGGCTTTAGGGGAGGGGGAACTTAAAGAGGCTAAAATGGAGAGAGATGTTGCAGCAGTAGACAGTGTGAGAACAACAATGTGCTTTTCTGATCATTAAAGCATGTAAACATATTATAACAAATTATAAACCAGTTACTGTGCATAATGTGGGCTCTTTCACTGAGCATTTCTGTATCAGTCTAAAGCAGTGGTTCTCAACAGGGGGGCCACGGTCCACTTGGGGGCCACAGAGAGCTGCCAGGCTGACAATGTTATTAAGAAAAATACATAAAAATGACAAAAAAAATGAGAGAAACTATCTAATTAAACAAATAGTCAATGTGTAGTGCTTCAACTGCAAAAACGAACTGCCCTGCCCAATGATAATAAATAAACACATTGATCAAAATGTAGTGTGGGCAGTAGCATGGCCTCATTGAGGTCCCTGGACCTTGGTATTTATTTCCCGATGTGAATACAAATTAAAGTAGTGAACTGCTTAGAATAACTAACTCTGATGCAGCATCATTGTTGCAAAACCCACAAGAGGGAAAGTCTTTGTCAGATGTAGGGAGGGCCTGGAATCTTTCATTGGACACAGAAGTTGCATTGGCAGCAAAAAGGTTGAGAACCCCTGGTCCAAAAGGAGAACACATTTGGAATTTCTACATACATTTACCAGTATTCACAGTTACCACCAATGTTTGAATGGTTTATATGAGGCTACAATAAGAGACAGTTAGCTTATCTTAGCATAAAGACTGGAAACTGAAGGTTATTAGTTTAATGCGCACAAAAACTGATGCGAAAACAAATGAGTTTTACAGTGTTCATCTTCTTTTTCCCCTCAGTTTTTGCACAAATTTCACACACGAGACATGTGGTAATTA